GGGGAAGGTATCCTTCCTGTGAGAGATGAACTCTCAGAAGTGAAGCCTCCTCAAAGGTCAAAATCCTCCCCCTCTCAGACCCTGTTTTTAAGCACATAACAGAAAGAATAAGCCCTGCCCCCAGCTTGAACTGCTTGCCCTTAGCTTCCTGCTTTTTCTTGTCTCTGCATAAGGGGAAAGGGGGTTAGGGAGGGGAAATTGCAGTAAATTTCAGTTTCCTAGGAATTACCTAACTCATGGGAATTTGTCCCTAAACCCCCTCCTGATCACCACACCATTGCTAAGTCAGCATTAGGTTTACTAAATAAGGACATGTATGTTTGGATTGGCTATACCCTGTTTCCTTGTTCTTTGTCTTTGAATTTTCATGCCTAGAATGTAAGCCTGCTTCCCCAGCCAATGGGAGTAAGGAATAGTGGTGGATGGAGGTTTTTTTTGTGTGTATCAGGGTGTGTGTGTCATTTTGCTTTCTGTGCCTCGCCTCTCTCCTCCTGGAAATACCGGGGGAGCAGATGCCCCTTCTGGGAAGATTGTAATAAAAAGTAACTTTTGCTTCCATCTTGAGAAGTCTCCGAGTTTAATTGATTTACAATCGCTGTCCCACACATTCCTGATTCCTGACCCTTGGAATCCCTTGTTTCATTTCAGGAAGTCCCCATCAATTTCACTTCAGGGAGAATAATCATTTATGGATGAAGTGCTCACTTATTTGGGTGAGCTGGCTCCTCATGGGGATGTGTCTTGGCTGCCAAGTCAGTCTACTGCTGGAATGGATCTAGAATGGAATGGAACTACTGCACAATCGCTTAGCTGCTGTACTGGTTCCTCAGAACAGGGAACTTGGTAACCATTACTGTTGACTCCAGTGGTATTTGCTTCCAAATTCAATTGCTGAGAGAGCCTCTTACGCTCTGACCTCTGAAAGCTCACAAGGACATAACCTAGTCAATTCTGTTTCCAAATACTCGTTCACCTAAGGTCAGGAAAGAGTAAACACCAAAGAGACAAAAGAAACAGAGGCTCTATGCATTCATGGTCAGGTGTTGGCAGGGTGGGTCATAAGACAGCCATTGCCCTTCCCCCCACTCAGTGGTTCAAAGCAGTTCTTGCTTAATACCCGGAAGGAAAAGGACGAAAGAGCTGAAAGAGGGGAGGGACATAGTGTTCCTTTTGTATTGGAACTAAATTTTGGCTCCAAGCCTCCTGAGTCATTCAGTTTGGCTCCTTAAACAACCAGAAAAATCACCAGATAAAACTAGCCTGGCAGTCACTCATGGCTAGGAGTAGGGACACCAAGGCTTCACATATTAGATTGGAATCAGGGAATACTGCACATACTCACCAGTAGAAAGGGCAAATCTGAGCATGCTCCAGGCACTGGGCCCTCACTGGCCCCAAATTATACAAGATAATTTGATAAGAAGCATTAAAATTTGGGGCAAGAGGTAGGGTACCTACAGCCCTGAGGCCACATGTGTCCTTCTAGGTCCTTGGGGGCAGCCTTTTGCAAAACAAATCCTTTTATTAAGGGAATTTATTCTGTGGAGTTTGGATTCAGTCAAAGTGGTGTACCTGAGGACCCAGAGGGCCACATGTAGCCCTGGATAGTTCTTTTGGATGTCAGTTCCTGGCTAAGACAAAGCCACCACACCAGTTCCAGGTCCTGTACCTTCCATATACAAGGAAATTTCCTTGGTGCTGAAAATAAATAAATAAAAAGAAACAACCCCTGTTTTCAAGCAGCTTATATTTTACTGAAAAACACCCTGATATATTTCATGATAGTGAAATGCATATTATGCTATCTCCCACACACTCATCCTTATTTAATTTCCTAAAAGATATTTGTGAAAAAGGCCTAATAGTCACTTCTTTTGGATTATCTCTAAAGTCCCTTTTGAGTTCTAATATTCATAATGATTCTATGTTCCGGGAATATAGAATCTGAGAATCCACATACGAGAGAGGCCCTTGATTTCAAATGAAAAGAGGCTGTTGTCCTCAGATTGTCAAAGATGATAAAAGGTAGAAAATTTCAGTGTTGGAAGGACTATGGGAAAACAGGCATGCTCATTCCTTAGAGGGGTGGAACTGTTAAATTGTTTGACTGCTTTGGAAGAAAACTTGGAAGTGTATAAGAAAAGTTACAAAATTTGTCATATCTTTCATACCAATAATCTCATTGCTAGGCTTATAACCTAAATGGATTGACAGAAAGAAAAGACCCATAAAATGACGGGCCTAGTGGTAGGAGAGTAGATGAACAAATTTTGGTATATGATTGTTATAATTGTATAAGGATAGACAGAGGTGAAAAATTCAAAGAATTATGGGAAGACTTGCATGATAATACAGGACTAGAATTTGGGAGAAAGGTTAGGGCTGTATATATGCATATGAGTCTTGGCATGCATATGTGTGGGGCAGAGACCACTTACTCAAAATAAAAACAAAGACCTAGATACCTTGAAAGCAGAAAGGTGTTTACTGCTTTCTTATGAGAAAGGACATACCAGGTGTTGCTTAAGATGGTGCCTTAAGTACCCAGCCAATGGGGGAAAAAGGTAAGATAGTGGGAGGGGGCACATGTTAGGGCTATAAAACCTTGAAGTTTTATAGAAACTCAACTCAGGGCTTTCGCCTGAGGAAACTGCACATCTCTCACATATATGATAACTGAACTCTTGGGAGCTGATGAGAATATTAAAGGATAGGGAGAGAAGAGGGCTTGGAGGGTGTCCACATTTAGTGGGGGAGAAGAGGAAGATTATTCAGCAAGGTATGCTGAGAAGTGGTCAGGAGAGGAGAACCAGAAGTAAACTGTCACAAAAACCAAGGGAAAAGAAAATGTTTAGCAGAAGGAAGTGATTGATAGGGTCAAAAGCTGCTTATGCTTATCTGTTCAAAACCATGGCCTATGGCTCCCTATTTTTCACTGGATCTATTCAAGTTCCAAACAATTAAACACATCATAGTCAGGCAAAAAGACATCTGTGTAACAGAAGACTGCCAATACATTGCAATAGTCCCTACCTTCATGCTCAGACAGGCAGGAAAGAGCTTAGCAGCCAATCAAAAATGCATTTGTCCAGAAACAATCACAGAATACCTGTTCATGCTGAGTCAATGATAGCATTGTCAAAGGTCAAAAATGGACTATCATTGCCAGTTTCTTATTAGATTTGAAAGGGAATGCAAGTCAAACATCAAGAACTTAAAATAAGCATCAGTTACTCCACCACTTATTTCCCCAAACTACCTTTTGCTACTTCAGCCCTTGGAGTCCATCCACTAATTTCTGCTCTTTATACAGCCTTTTCAGAACAGCACTTGCTTAATGGATGTGGCGAAATTTGAATGTCTGGGGGGGAAGTCTTTTTACTTGGGCACAATTAAACTTTAGGGTAATGCAACTGCTATTTCCTGAATGGAAAGTGGTAAAGAGACAAGGTCTAAAAAAGTGTTACCATTTCAACATCTGAAAGTACTAGTACTGCATTAGCAGGTGGAAGTGATAGCCCTAGCAGACCATAAGCCAGAGAAATTCTTCAGGCTTCCCTCCTCTGGTTCTTTTCCCACTATACTGTTCCTTTCCCAGCTTTCTTTGTATCTTTCTAGGCTTCTACCTAGAAGATTTCTGTCACTAGGCTTGCTGCAAACAGTTCTATCCATCCAGAATCTGAACTGATGGGATGACATAATCCTCTCATCCCAGCACCAGGCCTCCCAAGATTTATGGTAAATTCGAATCTGTAGCAGAATTGTCTATTGCTAGCAAGAGATATCATTACTAGAAACCCATTACACTATGATATTACATGACAAGTATATTAAAGGTAAAGCTAGGTGGTACAATGGATAGGGTGCAGGGCCTATAGTTGTTAAGACCTGAGTTCAAATCCAGTCTCACACACTTACTGGCTCTGTGGTACTGTGCAAATCACTTACCCTCTGTCTGCACCTCACTTTTCTCATTTGTTAAAAGGATGGCATCTACTTCCCAGGCTTGTGAGGATCAAATGAGATACTTGTAAAATGCTTAGCAAAGGCACATAATAGGCGCTAAAAAATATTAGGTATTATTGTTATTATAGTAATAGAGGTGTAGTTCAATTCACCATTAAAAATGCTATGTAAAGTGTAAGAGGAAAGGATCATCCTCCAGTGGGATCAGCAGGAAAGGTTTCTTTCTTTTTAAAAGTCTTATTTTATTGGTTATTCCCATTTTGCAGATGAGGAAGCTGAAGCAAAGGTTAAGTAAATCACCCAGGGTCTCAAAGCTCTGAAGGGTCTATGCAGCGAGTGTTCTCCATTCACGGTGCCGCCTAATAGCAACGGAACTGGATTTTGCAGTCCTAGGACTAGGGGCTCTGAACCTGTGTGACCTTAAGAGTCTTTATTTTTCCTCCTCCAAATCTTAATTTCTTCGTCTATAATAAGGTAAGGCGGTGGACAAAAAGAGTTACTTCTAAGATCCTTCCCAGTTCTGAAGTTCTACGAGCTGAAACAGCGGAGTGCCAGGGTCAAGGTCACGGCCCCAGGGCTCGGGGGGGGGGGCTGACGTACGTTAGCCCTGCCTAGGACCCGCCTGGGCCCCACACCTCGCAGCTGCCGGCCCGGAGTACCCGATAAGACCCCGGGTTCTGTTTTCCTCTCGCCGGCCCGGTTAGTCCCCAGAGACTGTCGGAGCTGGGAAGTGAAGCACTGGGTTCAAATAACCCCACGCTGACTAATGTTTATAAACCTGCCGAGGTTGAGGGCGTTTGTGCGGAAGGGGCTGGGAAGCCAAGGACAAAATGAGTGAATCGTCCGTCCTCGAACACGGCTGTCCCCTCCCCCGAGTTTCCCCTTAGTATCATCCAGGGACTACCACATCAGCAGGTCAGAGAGGACGAAGAAGGAATGAAGCCGTCCCACGCCTCAGGAAGCCTTCCCGGCAGCCACGTAGTACCCGAGGGTCACGTGCCCTCCGCTCCTCTTCTGGTCTTGTGACCCCCTCCGCCCCCCCCCCAGCCCGGACCAGAGAGACGAACGGAAGGAGAAGCCGCATTCTCCCGGCCCGCGCCCTCCCACATCCGGCTCCCTGTCGGTTCCCCCACCACCACCGGAAGCCCAAGGCGGCCCGCTAGCCCCGCACTCCTGCGGGCTCTCGGTGGCCGTGGAGGATCCGCAGGATGGGGGACAAGATGGCGGAGGAGGAGTGAGTGGGATTTCCGGGCGGCGGTGGGGCTGTGGGCCCCCCAGGGTGGGGGTGGGGCGGTCCGGCCGCACCTCCGAGCAGCCTCCCCGCCCCCCGCCGTGGCTCGCGAGCTGAGGCCTGGGGCCTGCAGGCGGCGACCCCTCCCCCGCCTCCCCGCTGCGGACCTTTTGTGGTCAGCCCCTGGTGGCAGGGTCGGGTGCATCTCCTCCCACGCCGACTTTTGACAAACGTGGAAATTAAGGCCTTCTACCGGGGGAACCTTTCCCCGAGAATTGCTTTCGTGTCCCCCTCCTCCTTTCTTCGGAAGGCCCCGCCCCCTTTCGGAGGGAGATGGGGGAGGCTCTCAGCCTAGCCCTAGGGATGGACTTTTCTCCTGAAAGTCCTTTGGACCACGCTTGGTCTGAGGGGCCTGACCTGTTGCGGAAAGTGACGTGCCCAAGGTCGTACAGTGGCCGAGCTGGGATCAGACCCCGAGCTCTGTCTCAATATGGTTGGAAAAGTTGAAGTTGGAGTCGGGAAGACCTGGTTCAAATCCAGCCTCAAGACACTTGCTGGCTGTGTCAAGTCACTTTAACTTCATAAAGCCTCAGTTTCCTCGGCTGTGAAATGGGTATAATAATGGCATCCCTCCTTGTAGTATTGTTATCAGATTTCATTGGGATGATGTATGTAAAAATGTTTTGGAAACCTTAAAGCCGGCATAAATCAGTACAGGCTATTTTTATTACTACCAGGGCATTCTCCTTTTGCAGATGAAAATGAGGCTTGAAGAAAAGCAGCAGTGGCATGAACACAATTCTGTGTAGCATGTCATGGTTTAAAAAGCCCTTTCCTTGTCATGACCCTGTGATGTAGGTCATGAGAGCTGGTTGTGGAGTGTTAGAGGAAGGAGTAATATAATAGAGGCAAGCATCTATACAGCTCAGGTGCATTATAGATTTATCTCATTTTATTCTCCCCACAACCCTAGAAGGTAGGTGCTATTATTATCCCTATTTTAGAATTGAGACAAATAGAGTTTAGGTGATTTGCTGGGAGGCCACACATGGCTGGTCAGTGCCTGGTATTGGATTTGAACACGGGTTTTCCGACTCCAGGTTTGGCACTGTTATGTACTGCTGCCACCTAGCTGATTTGGAGTTGTAGAATTTGGGATTCCTGCTGTGTCCAAGTTGTGCACTTAATTTCTGTGGACCTCATTTTCCTTATCTGTAAAATAAAGAGGTTGATTTCTGAGGTCCTTGACTACTCCAAGTCCTATGACACTGACTCAGAGTGTAGTGTTATCTCCTTTTTATAAAAGGGGGTGAGGAAACTAAGACTTGGGCATGCTAACTTCTCAGGGTCATATAGGCTGTTAGTTTCCCTGGGGGATTGATTGAACCAAGTCTCTGTACTAAAGGGGCAGAATTCTTTCCATTTCACTACATTCCCTGCAACTACATTTCTGAGCAACTTGTGTACTTGCCTGTAGACAATAAGTAGCAGACACACGACTTGGAATCAGATTTATGAGATGAATTTCTAAAACATCCACGAATACAACATTGATGTCATTCTTTATATCATAGCTTTTCAGATTTGTCTCTGTAAGTGTGGAGACATTCTGTGTGGAGTCTGAATGGACCTAGGAAATCAAAACACTCCAGTTTTCTTTCTTTGCTTTTCTCCTCCAAAAGTGGAAAGGGTTTTGGTTATAAACTTCATGGTTATTATTGCCAATGGCATAATGATAATAGGTTACACTTTTAAGCTACTTTAGTAATATTAGTAACTAACACGTAGCACCTTACTAATATCCCATTTTATCTTTCAACAGCTCTGGGAGGTAGGTGTGGTGTTTTTTTTTTAAAATCCCTATTTTACTGAAGAAGAAACTGAGGCAGAGACAGTTTAAGGGTCACACATACAAATAAGTACCTGAGGCTGGATTTAAACTGGAGTATATCTGACTCCAGCCCTGATGCTCTTTCTTCTGTACCTCCAGATATTTTTATATTTTAATTTGGTGGTATTCCTAGGCTGCTCTTAAAGGTACCTTGAGTGTGGTGACAAAATGGCATCACTCACTAGCTGTATGACCTTGGGCTTGACACTTAACCTCCCTAAGCCTCAGTTTCCTCAATTTTAAAATGAGAAGATTGGGCTAGATGACCTTTAAGGTCCCTTCTAGTTCTAAATCTATGACTCTAGGATGTTGTAGTAGATAACTATGTTGGAGCTGTCCAGTTTTAAGGCTTGTTCTTTTAACTGCTCATTTAATAGTTTATTACTATGTGTGTTTATGCCTTAGAGAGGGAGGCATTTTCTCTTTATCTACCTGCTTCATTTGTGTCTTCTGACAGGTTCCTCAACACAACCCATGAGGGTCCCAATATAACGCTACATACCACCCTGGCCATCACTACCAAACTGGTGCTTCCAACTCCTGCGAAACCCATCCTTCCCGTTCAAACTGGAGAACAGGCCCAGCAAGAGGAGCAATCCAGTGGCATGACTATATTCTTTAGTCTACTTGTTTTAGGTGAATGTTGAAATGCTATTATTTACTTGTTTGAAATAGTGTATGTTGTGCCTGTATGGAGAACACTCATATTTGTTCTCCTTTGCCCAGTTGTCCCGCCATTTAGTTTTCTCTACTAACATCTCTGAAGAAAGATGATCCATTCATAACCTGTCACTTCATTAAACACTGCTTAGCCTTCTTAAAAGCGTTTTTAAATGTATCATTACTGAGTATCTTGAAGCATAGGTAGAAATAGATAATTCAAAATCCTTATTGAAACAAATCATCACTCTTTAGCATGAAGAATGAAAGAATTGATGGAAAGTATTTAACAACTTTGATTAGATAGAATAATGACACAAATTGTAGTTTGACCCTGTTCTGAAGAGAAAATATCATGGCCTTTTGGTGGTTGTAGAAGGCCTGAATTTTAAATAGTGCTTTAGTTACATGTTTAAGTAGCTCACATTTTTTTAGGAGAGTGCAAGGCCAGAATGGACATCTTTTGTTGGGCTGTGCCCTGGGTGCTGTTTCAAATAAATGTGCAATGTCTTTTTGTTTATCATCAGTACATTTCAGAAATGGTTTGAGTGGGACCTGAGTTCAAATCTGGCCTCAGACACTTAACACTTATTAGCTGTGTGACCCTGGGCAAGTCATTTAACCCCGTTGCCTAGGGGCCCCCCCCAAAAAAAATAGAAAAGGTTTGAGGATTGGTAATAGCTTAGAATTTTAGAATATTCTAAAAGCTTAGAATACAGATACAAAATGCCTTTCTGTATTCTATTTGGATTTAATAACCACTGATTGCTTTCTTTTTGCACATCTCTTTGGATAAAATTCCTGGGGTAGTAATTAAGTAATTCAGCAGAACATTTTTGTTGCAGTATAGTATGAAGATGGAAGACAATTCCTGTCTTAATTAGAAAATCTTTATTACCTGAAATCTCCCTTTGAGGCCAAAGGAAGGTCATTATTCTATTAATGTCGAAGGCAATTTGATATGTTAAAGAATATAAAAAAGGGGTAAGAAGAAAAGATATTTTTTGTAAACATTATGCCCATCCCTCATTTTTCCCCCATTAAAAGATGGAAGTGGGAAAAGGAAATTGAATTTTAAGGTAGGCTTTATTTATAAAGGCTGTTTTATACCTCTTCATTAAATTGGATTCGTTGAATTGAATCTTTAAGATGAGCTTGTACTGAAGAGCACAAAACAGGTTTCTACAGCCTGCTAATGAACCAGAACAAAAATCTGCATAGATTTTATACCTTTCTTAGGCCAAAAGAGTGTTGAGTTTAATTTATAAGGTGCTGCTTAACCCTGGGGTAACTTATCTTTTCAAACATAATTCCAGAATCACTGGATTTTGTTTTTTGTGTTTGTTTCTTTTTGGGTTCTGCTTCTTTTTACTTCTGTTCTCCACAAACGATTTATGAATTTGGGTCTCTTTAATTGCTTCCTGGAATACTACTAGGTACCAGTAGCATAGTTTAAGACTTTTTAAGTTGAACTAGGAGAATTTTATCTTGGATCTCTGTGTAATATACCTGTTTACTTCTGAACAGAGGTTCAAATGATACGCATCTAAGGTCTTAAAAAACAATGTCCTACATGAGGTGATGTGTCATTGCACTACATTCATGAACCATAATGAATGGAAGGAAATTAGGATACTTTAGCACAGGCAATGAAGAGTGAGTTGTTTTATTACAGAATATAGATACTTCCCATCTTATGTCACCTCCTTGCCCTTACTTCTATTGTTTAAATTGGGCCAGAAAAGAAATTGCAAGGTTTTTTGTATCCTTGATCACTGTGGGTCACAAAGTATGACAAGGAAAAGGAGGTAATTTGATTGTGAGTCAGAGCTATTAAAAAAAAAAGCACAATTGGCATGCATGGTCTTTGCTTTACACCAGTTGGGATTTAAGAAGGATTATCAAAACTTTAAGATTGAGCACCTGTAGGTTTTCTTAATTGTCATAATTCAATTTTTGAATATACCCTTGACTCTTGAAATCAATTGGTTAGCAGTCTATACTGATTCTTAGAAGCTTAGACCATAACAGTGTATGTGTACTATTTTTATGACTGTTGAACTTGGCAATGTTTAACACTTTTTTCTGTAGAAACTTTTTTTTTAAACTGGTAAAAAGTAATGGAGATTTTTGGAATTGACAAATCTGTGCTTAATATTATTTTTGTAATTACTTTGCAAGTTTGTGTTTGGTAAGTAGCCTTGGGAAATTTAGAGAGCTGACAATGTAGTGTTTGTGATCTAACATGGAACAGGATTTGATTTTATATTGGATTTATTAAATTGATGATGCTGATTTGGAAAATAACAATTTTTAACATAATGAGTAAAGCAAAGATAATGCCATAACAAGCCTGACATGTTTAGCAGCCATTTCATTAGAAACTGATTGAGCACTGGCATTAAATTTTGTTTTGCTGAGTTAAGAAAAAAAACAAATATATACCAAAAAACAAACAAACCCCTTACTGTGCCCTACTAATCTGAAAATAATACCAACACCAATGCCATCAAACTACAGTAGAGTTCAGATTTGATCATTGATGTGGTGGAAAGTATTACAACTAAACCAGAGGAGAATTGTAATTATTATTTTTTAAGCATTGGGAGGATTGCACTTTGAGAATTACCACAGTGTTATCTTGTAAGATATATAACATGCTGACTTATTTCCCCTCTTTCCCTTTGGTATTAAAATTTCAAAAAATGTTATTTGATGTGGGTGTCAGGAACCAATTTATTGATTATTTCAGTTTGCCTTGGTTAAAAATAGGGAGAGCAAAGTAGGATTATTTCTAATAAGAAGATGCCATATAATGTGGTAGAAGAATATCTTTGCTTCTCTGTATTTTATTACAACTATAGTTACTTAGATTTTAGTGGCCAAGTAATTTTAAATTAGGAATATGGTTACAGCTTTTAAAAATCACTATTCCATTGGTCAGTTCGTAACTTTTCATTTATTATACTACATCATATGATGTCTTTAAAGTGAGATCTCTTTGAAAGGAAAAAAAAATTTCTGTACACTGAAGCATAGCACTGATTATAGGCTTCACTTAGATTTCATATCAGCCAGATTTTATGGGAAAATGCAACTCATGTTGAGACCAAAATGGTAGTTTTCATCCATTCCAAGGAATTTTAAAATTATTTTAAAATATATTTTAAAAATATATTTTAAAAATTGCTTACACATTAAAAATATATTTTTTATATTTTATCAGATTTTTAGTTGCCTTTAAATGATTGCTAGGAAATGGGCTGTTTTAACATTGTTTTTTACTTCCTTTGCACAGCTATTTGCATCATATTGGTGCATTTATTGATCAGATACAGACTACATTTTCTGCCGGAGAGTGTTGCAGTTGTCTCTCTAGGTAAGTGGTTAAAATCTGGTTAAATTGAAGTTATTAATGGTGTTTAAATTGATAACCTTTTGGAGGGGAGGGTCTAAGACCTGTGATTTCATTAGTGTAAGGAACTCCTGGATTAGAAACCTCATTCCTCTGTAATTTAAAGCCTTAGAGCATTATTTAGGGCAGTAAGATATTAAGTGATTTGCCCACGATCACACTGTTAGTATACGTAAGACACAGAACTTGAAGTAAAGTCTTCTTGACTCAAGCCTTCTATGTACTGTGCCACAGTGCTTCTTTTGAATAAACCTAGTTAATTTGTAGAGTTATTAAATTTTAGAGCTGGAAAGGACCTTGGAGTCTAACCTCTCCTATTTGTATAAATGAGGAAGCTGAGGCCCAGGAAGGAGAAGTAATTCATCCAGTGTCCCACAAGTGAGTTGATGGCCGGACTGGGATTAGAGCCGAATTTGGTGTAGTGTAAAGAGGGATAAGTTCAGGTTCAGGAGAGACTTGAGTTTGAATCCTGCTTCTGACATTTATTAGCTATGAAACCATCATTTTCCTTATCTGTAAAATGGACATAATGATATGAATCTCAAAAAGGTTGTTTTCAGGATCAAATGAGATAATATACAAAGTTACATAAATTTCAGCTATTTTTCTTTGTTTTTCTACTGGAGCCCCAGTTCTATTCTTAACAAACTCTCCATCCTAAATTTCTTCTTATACTTTTCATTGTCGTCAGTTCGTGAAAACCTGATTCCTTCCAAAGGCACTGCATCTGTGGTCAAAATATGTAGTACTGGGTGCTCCTTTCAAGCCCCTCAGACATACTAGGACAAGTAGAATAGACATACTGTTTCCAGATCTTCTCTTCTATCATAACTTAGTACAGTCAGTTCTGCTATAACTTGACATGTATTCCCCAGAAGCACCATACTATGTGAATTTGTGCAGGGAAAACCACAGAGCTTGTGGGGACAACAGGGTTAGTGGTACAATGCTTTAAAACTTCATCAGTGTGCAATGACTAAGAATGTTAAACTGAACCCTTCTCAGCATTACGAGGTTCTAAGACATCTCCAGAGGCCTCGGGATGGAAAATGCTGTCCACATCCAAAGAAAGAACTATGGAAGTTGAATTGCTCTCACTTATTTTTACCTTAAGTTGAATTTTGTTTCATCTTTCTGATGGTTCCTCCTATTGGTTTTAATTTTTATTTACAACTTCACTAATGTGAAAATATGTTTAATGGGTATGTAAATGTAAAGCCTATGTCAGATTGTGCGCCGTCTTGGGGGGGGGGAGGAAAAGGGAGAAAAAATTTTCAACTCAAAAGCATATGGAAAAAAAAAATTTAAAAAAAAACTTCATCAGTGACTCATAAAAAAAGATATGGACCTAATAAAACAGTAGTACAGTTTTATATATGTTAAATGGTTAAGAAATACATAAATTTTACAATAAATAGCAACAGCATCTTTGACCTCAGTCTGTCTTCAGCCTCAGGCCCAGGGTTGGGTAGGCTGAAACTGTGGGCTTGAGTGGGGGAAGGTGTTTGAACCATCAAACCAGCTTTCTCCTACCCATAGCTCTTACTGCATCAGAAAATATACAATATTTTACTTTGAAAAAGACCTGGATTTGTTTGTGGAAGTGAGCATCAGAAGGACTGTAGCTTTATGAGTTATTGTGAAGTTTTCTGCATTCCCAATATTTCTCAAGCAGAACTGACTGTATTTCTTATTTTAAACAGGCCACCCCTCCCTGTCCGTATTGTTGTCCTTTCTCAAGGAGTTCAGTACTTGCCTCATAGTCTTCTTTGTCTCAGCTTTGGTCTTTGCACTAGATGTCAGAATATACTTTGATGTTTCCTAAACATCCTGACATCCTCATTCCTCCTTTCCTACTCCTGTAACCTATGGGCTCATTGCCCATAACTGCTGTTTCCATGATCTTGAACTCTTAAATTCCCCTGTCTGATCGTATATTCTGGTCCTTTTATCTTTCTCTCTTAAGGTAGCTAAATGGTGCTGTGGATAGAGCTTTGGGCTAGAGTCAGGAAGACGAGTTAAAATGAAGTCTCAGATACTTCCTAGTTGTGTGACCCTGGGCAAGTCACTTACTTTCTGGTTTCCTCAGGTTCCTCAGTTGTAACATAGGGATAATAATAGCTCCTACCTCCTAGGGTTGTTGTGTAGATCAAATGAAACAATGGTTGTAAAGTGCCCTGAACATGGTAGGTGCTTCATAAATGCTTCTTCCCTCTTCCTTCTCCTCCCCTTCTTCCTAAAATTATTCTTTGTCCTCACTTGGGCCTTCAGACCCTCTGTTTTTATCTGTTCATTTTCCTATCTATTCTTCTAGTTAATCATCCCATCTGTGGCCTCATTGTCCTCCCTTTGCAGCCTTTTGACTTTTTAATGTCATGTGTGATATACCTAGTCAGTAGGGTTGTGGTTCTTCCTCCAGCTTCATTCAGCAGCCTGTGAGCAAGCTTCAACCTCATCCTATCAATTGGTTCCTTTCCTACTGCTTTCAAATATGCCCTGTTCTCTCCCAGCCTTAATGGCCCTCTTACTTGGCCACTGTTTGCTATGTTCTGTGATCTCATTCCCCTTGTCCTTTTGCTGTTTTCTGTATTCTTACGCTTGTGTTGCTTTCACACGTGGTTGAAGTCACATTTTGTGACAACTGAATCCACTATTAATTTATAGTGCACCTGCTCAGCTGCACTGTCACTGCTATAGGACAGTCCTTTTGTCCTTTCCTAGTTGGAACTCCGACACATTCTCCTGTTTGACTGTAACCCATTATCACTCCTTTCCTTATATTTCATCCCTCCTATAACTGTCCTTTGCCTTCATCAAGTGCTTTCTCAGGCCGTTACACTTGTTCAGACTTCACTTGTTTCCTCTTCAGCCTCAATCCAGTGGTTACCCATTTCTACCCTATGCTGTTCTCTTGAATCTCTTACCCCCTTTCCTTTTATTATTCCTCCCTTGCCAAACCTCAGCCCTAAATTACTTCCACCATCTGCTTCTTCTACTCCTATTCACAAATTGCTGAATGAAGGTGGAAGAAGAACCACAACCCTGCTGACTAGGTATGTTACACATTCATGTTATCCAACCGTAGCTGGGCCCTCACTGCATCTGGCCAATCCTTTTATTCCTCCCTAATTAATTCCCTATCTTACTCTACAGAAACTATTCCAAACCTTCTCTTTCCTCCTTAATCTACTCCTCCCCTTGTCACTCAGCTGGGGACTTTGCCTTTTGATGAAAAAAAATTGAAGCCATCTGGTGTGAACTCTCTCTTCTCCTCAATTCCAGATCTCTTGACATCATCTTCCACTCTCTCCTTTTCCTCCAGTTTTTGTCAAAGAGGTTACCATCTTCTTGCCAAGGCCAGTCTCTCTACATCTGTACTTGATGCCCCTTTCCTGTCTTCTCCAGCAGATTTGCATCCTCAGTTATGTTCCCTTCCCCATCTTCAGCCTCTTCCTATCAACTGGTACCTTTTCTTCAAACATGCTCAGGTCTCTTGTAGCCTTATAAAACCTTCAAAGCCATTGTCCAATATCTCTTCTCTCTTTCTCAGTCAAACTCCTTGAAGAAGTTGTCTATACTGGCTCCTTCTACTCCTCCTCTTCCATTTCTCAGCCTTTTACAATTTAGTTTTTGATCTCATTGCTCATCTGAAATTACTCTTTTCTTTAAAAAATATTTTATTGTTATTGCTGCTTTTTATTTTTATATTGCCTAGATTTCTTTCCCTGCCCCTCCTTTTCCCAGAGAGCTATCCCTTATTACAAAGGATTTAAAAAAGAAAACAGGAAGAAGAGAAAACAAATTTGGCAAAACCTGAAAAAATCTGATCAAAAAATCAGGTGTTATATGCAGTGCACTACACCTTCACCTCCGCAAAGGAGTGGGAGGAAATACAGTCTCATATCTCTTCTTTTGTGGCTAAGTTTATTCTTTTTAATGTTGCTGTACTCATTTGTGAATGTTTTGTGGTTATTACTCTTTCTATTTACATATCGTAATCATTGAATATCTATCTTTCTATGTATCCATCTATATAAATTTCCAGATTCAATAATCTTTTCTCAGTCCAACCCTATTAGTTGTCTGCCGCATTTGATACTGTTGACCATCTTCTCCTAGATACTATATTCTCTTTGCATCTTTGTAACACTAACCCCTTCTTAATTTGCTTCTCTGCCTTCCTTAATTTATTCATTATCCATATCATACTCCCTAACTGTAGATCTTCCCAAGATTCTGTCCTCAGTCTTCTTTTCCTTTTATACTCTCTAGGAAACTAATCAGTTCCCAAGGATTTAACTATGGTCTCTTTGGAAGTGTCTTCCAGGTCTGTACATCCAGCCCTAGCCTCTTCCCCTGTGCTTCAGTTCTAGAATACCAGTTACCTATTGGAGATTTCAAATATGAATATCCTGGAGACATCTTAAATTCAACATGTATAAAACCAAATTCATTATTTTTCCTATGAAAACCTTCCCTTTTCCAAAGTTCCCTATTTCTATTGAAGGTAGCACCTTCCTTCTAGTTCCTCAGGTTCATAAAATGAGTAGTATCCTCAACTTCTTATCCTCCCTTATACCACATATCCAATCAGTTTCTAAATCTTGCCATTTATGTCTTTATAATATCTCTCAAATCTGTCCCCTTCTCTTTACTCACACATTGCCACCCCCTCATCTCCTCTTGCCTAGATTATTGCAACAGCCGCTTAATTGTTCCCTCTTTCTCAAGTCTCTTACCACTTCTGTTCATCCTACATACTGTTGCCAAAATAATTTTCCAGACTGTGACTCCCTTACTCAACCAACTCTAGTAGATTCCTGTTGCTTCTAAGATAAAATATAAACTCCCCATCTTATCTTTTTTTTAAAAAACATTTATTTTTAGCATTTATTTTAAAAAGTTTTTGAGTTCTGAATTTTCTTCCTCCCAACCTTCCCTCACCCATTTGAAAAGGCAAGACA